CAAAGAGGACTCTTAAAACCAGCATTAGTGCAGTGATAGTAAATTTAATTTAATTAACCAACGTTGATCAATAATACAATATAATAATTAATTTAACCGACTAGTATTTCTGCTGTCGACTGTGTTTACTAGTTCACTAGCGTCGACTAATCGCACACGTTCCTACAAGATCCAGAATAAAAACAGTGAACACATAAATGCTAGTGTGTGTGAGCTGGTGCATAAAGAACACAAATTACTGTCTAACAGGAAACTGACAACAGCATTGTGTGTGGAAAATATTTCACCTGTTGTCCTTTCACAAAAACAAGCAACCGCCATTTAAACAACGTAACAGATTGTTTTATAGAGGCTTTAAATGTTGCTAAATTTGACTGTTTTCTGAGCGTTTTCTTGCTTTGAGAAGTTAAATTTGTGTTTAACTGAGTGAAATTTGGTGCTGGCCTGAAGATCAGGCTTAATTTGTTACCTTTTTTCATGAAACTCGGTTCAGAAAGAAGTAGGGCTGGGCGATATGGCTTAAAAATAAAATCTCAGATTTTTTCACACCAAACCCAATTTACGATTTTAATCGATTTTTTTTTTTCCTTCTTACAAACACACCACAAATGACAAAGAAATTATTCAAAACTAGTTTTGCTTTTATTTTGTTTTGATTTTCCCTTCTGGGATTTGAACAAAATTTCCCCTGAGGGCTAAAGTGCAACAAAACGCAAGTCTAACAAGCTAAACAAGATGGCAGGCCCTGCCATTGTAAACAACAGCGAAAATGTAACTTTTCAGGAGGCTTTCTACTGACTTCAAACAATGTCCCACCTTCCAGGGACCTAATCTCCCAGTTTTGAAAACATAACTAAGAAAATGTTCACTTCTTTGACAGTGATACAGTGCACCTTTAAACTAACGTAAAATAACTTAACTTAACTTTCTTATAAAGCACTTTTTGAAAACATTAACATTTAACATGTCAGATTGCATGCCATTACAAAAATAGATAATTTTCCCCATTGGTATTTATATAGTGCAAACAAAACCTTCATTAAAGTTCACATGTTGTGCATATAAATAAAAAGTGCCTCTTGTATACGAAGATTATTTTGAATGCCTGAATATGTAAACAAAATCCTTCAAACATCTGCATGCATCGCATAGTCAACATCAAATCTTAGAAGATGTACAGGACATGAGGTGCTTGCCATGCTGTCTTTAGTTTTTCTTTTACAAATTTTTGGCAAGGAATACAAGCCTGTCTACTACCTCTGGCTTGAGGCATGCCCTGTTGCATGTAACAATGCCACCCCCCCACACTAAAATCCCTCTCTGACGGGGCACTTGTAGCAGGGATAGAAAGGTATTTCTTGGCCAGATTACTGAGCCTTGGGAAGTTTGGTTCGTGGCGCTTCCACCACTGAAGTGGATCAGTGTCTGGGTCTGCCTCAGGTTGCCAGCTCAGTCTCTATTTTCCCTGCCTCTGACTGGTGGGGAGATGGCACTGCCACTGGCACATTCTTCTTGAAGAAGGAAGCTAAAGTCATTTTCTAATTGGGTGGAGGCTGGGCTTCTTGGCGCACCTGCACAGCTGGACCAGGCTGCTGTGGTGTACTTTTTTCAGCAGGCAGAGACAACAGCTCAGTGACTGCTCTTTTTTTTACTTGTTCCACCTTTCCTGGGTCAATGTAGGTTGTTCGGAACCTGGGGTCCATCAGTGAGGACATGTCTAAGAGTTCATCCGTCACAGGGTTGCTGTATTTGTTCTCAAGGTAGCGCACCCTGTACTTCACCCATCTCTCTTCTTTTTTTCCAGCTATAGGAAAAGGCAGCAGCAGCCTTTTTACAAACCCCAATCGCACGTTCGATCCGTGGGTCCTTCACACCGTTCTCTGTATAATAAAGAAAGAAAGAAAGAAAACACAAACAAGACAATTTTTACTGTGGCATGAACTACATTCACACACATATTGGTCAATGTGTCACAACAATGTGTCTTTTTACACATTTCAACATTTTACACACACACACACAGGGCATGTGTACCATTATGATGAATCATACATGTACATTTTGTGTAAATGTATTAAGTTGATTAAAATGCATTAATCACGCATTATGCATGTGAACATCATGCATTAAGAGGGCTTGTAGCACCCAATAATGTAACAATTTCCTGATAATGTAATAATAATAAATTAATTTAATAATTTTTTTAATTTGATTGAAAATGTAATAAAACCCAATAATGTAATAACTTAACCATTAATGTAATATATGGTAAATGGTAAATGCAATAACATGTCCTGACTGATATAACTTTTTTACTGATAATGTAATCCCTCATTACATCATTGGGAAGTTATTATATTTTCGTGTCCACCATTTTTACCACATCACTTGAATGCATCATTGGCCATTAGACTCTTACCTATAGCGTTGTGCAGTCTATGTCCAAAGAATTGGAGGTTGGGCCACTCATTGTCTTTGAGAGCTTTGATTATGTTGGTGCCACTGTCTGTTGTCATACAGATGATGATGATAACCCTTCAGCAAGGTTCGAGGAGCTCCGAGCATCCTTTAGCCCCATGGCAATTATCTCACTTTTGTGGTCATCGGGGAAATAAGGAGGCAGACGCTTCACAGATCCCAGTTGTTGTTGATAAAATGTACAGTCAAACCCATGTAGGGCTGCATGGTTCGGCTGGACCATAGGTCTGTTGTGGTGGAGTAAAAACACACCTCCTCCAGCTCTCTAGCGATCCTTTCCCGTGTGCAGTTGTACAGGTGAGGCAAGGCAACTCCGGCAAAATACTTGCGGCTTGGTAGCACATACCTGGGGTCGAAGGTTTTCAGCATGTGGATAAACCCCGGCTTTTCCACTGTGTAAATGGGAACCATATCTTTAGCAATATGCAACGCGACTGCATCAGTAATAGCTTTCCTCCGGGTCCCTTTCTT